TCAGCACATCGTTCCCGATGTCCAGAGATGCCAGGAGAACCCTTGGGGGTCTCGAAAATCCTGGAATGTTGCCAAGAGTGTTTGGTGGCTTGATTTTGATCCATCCACAGAAGTAACAAGAGTTTGAGGACAAGAGAATCACTTTAGAGTACAAGGTGTAAAAGAGACACATTTAGAGGGTGAAATATAAACTTTAAGGTTTTTGGTACAGGGGGGTTATGGAGACAAGATGGAGGGATCAGGGTGTGTCTCGTCCTTCTTCTTTCTTCTTCTTGTCCTCCATCTCCTGTGGTGATGTTGGCACTTGGGGATTGGTTTATGGTGAAGGTGCACTTGCTAACATGGGTGAAAAGCATTGGGAAATAAAGGTAAATATTGTGTACGTAGATTTTAGTATAAAAAGACATGACCGCCCCGTGGGTGGTCAGAGAGTGCCTGTGACTGCTTGCAGGTCAGACCTCTGTTGGGCAGACAGAAAATTTTGTAGATAAGAAATAATAAACAACCTGAAGATTGAAAAGCTGAAGAGTCCAGACTCGTCCTTTGCATCGCGCCCACCCAAGAACCACCCTACCCGTGTCGGGGCAGAGACAGACAGCCGAACCCGACAACTGGGCTGAGCTCTCCCACTGCCCCACGTGAGCTCCAGCACTTGCTTTCCTACATAAAACCCCAATATTTGCAGAGTGAGTGCTTTTATTACCAAGGAAAAATGGGGGAGGCTGAGCTGAACTAATTCCATTTGATTCTGTGGGCAACTGGCAGCTTTTATATCCCCGTTTTATTTTTTTATGTGTTTCAATCAGGTGGTGCTTGCAGAGATCAGAGAGCTTTTTCCTCAGCTCTGTCCTCCCCCCAGTGTCCTCAGCATCTCCCCAGCCTGACAGGGCTCTGTTCTGTGCTGCTGACTTGGCCAGGTGATGTCAAGAGAAGTCAGGTTGGGTTTTTTTGGCTTTTTCCCATTTCCAGCTCGTTACAAACCATTGTTGCCTTCCCATCTGCCAGCTCAGAACAGGAGTGCTGCTTTAGCTCCGTGTCACCAAGGAGAAATTAAATATTGTCATTAAAAAATGCCAGCCTTGCATCATCTTCTCAGGCACAGAGGAAGAAACCTTTGCAATTAAATTCCCTCTGCTCCAGCAGGAGGGCAGAGGTTCTTCCTTTTTTTCCCCCTTTTCTGTGATGATGATATTCTGGGATTTTAGAGCAGCAGGGGGGGGAAAAAAGCCTGTTTGATTTTCCTCATTATGTTAAGCCTGGTTTTACTTTCTGATTGCCAAAGCATGATAAATGGAACACAGATTACCTAGAGATTTTCAAAGATTTGCTTTCAATTTGATTTTTCCTGAGCCTTATTAAGCCTGCAGGTTTTATCTACACTTTGTTCTTCCAGTGGAGTAACATTACCTTGTATTAATAGCCATATTTTTTTCCCATTTTAAATGAAAACCAGACAGAGGCTTCTCATGCTTTGCTTTCAAATCCTATTTTAAAAAATATTGATCATGTGTGTATGTTGTTTTTCCTTTCCCCCTGACCCTGCTGGCTCTGTAAAGGACATTTCCCAGGGAAATGCTTCCAGTTGTGGATCTCTGGGCATTGCTGGGTGCAGTTTTGGGGATTAAGGGATGCATTTTAGAAGGTGTAATGTATAGATGATTAAAAAAAAAGTGCTTTCCAATAGAAAAGTAAGATTTAAAAGAATGAGCTGTAAAATCAGGGAGTACAGAGGAGCTTAGGCAGGGTAAGGTAACCCTTGAAGGGCTCAGGTGCACCTTGCAGGAGTTAATGCCAATGGAAGGGCTTGTCCCCCATGATTTCAGGAGAAACAGCCCCAAATCCGTGGCTTTAGGAGAAATGGCACAGCCTGAGTGCTGCTCTCTGGGAGAGCCTTGGAGGGTGGCAGGGACGTGGGGACAACACAGGACACACAGACAGACAAAACCCACCTGACACACCTGGTGTGCTCCTTCTGCTGCAGCCAGGAACCCTGAGCCTCCTTTGGGGCTTTCCAGGGTGGGGCTCAGGCCAGGGAGGGTTCCAGAGCATCCTCCTCTCTCAGAGGCCTCAGGGCAGCGGGAATTGGTGATGGAAAATCTCCCTGCACCTGGTGTGGGAAGCAGCTGCCTTGTGTGACAGTGACAGGAGCTGCTGTGTCCTCTGAGTGCTGGGGATGAAACCAAGGCAGCTGCTCAGGGAGCACAGAGGGGGGAGAACAGAGCATCCTGGGGTGCCCCAGCCATGGAGCTGGTGCAGGGCTGAACCCCCATCCCCAGAGCTGGCTCCATGAGCTGAGGTGGCATTCACATTCTCTGGAAAATCCCTTTGCCCAGGATTCCTCTCCTGGGAAGATGAGAAGCCTCAGAGAAAAGGAAAACAATTCTGATCTCATTTGCTTCTCCTGTGTTTTGCTGCTTTGGAATGTGTTTGGAGATTGTTTACCCACAGGTGATTGTTCCATTGCATTCTGCTGGGAGTTGTTTTCACTCTTTGGCCAATCAGGGCCAAGCTGTGTCAGGACTCTGGAGAGAGTCACGAGTTTTCATTATTATCTTTTTTAACCTTCTGCAAATATCCCTTCTGTATTCTTTAGTATAGTTTAGTATAGCATTCTTTAATATAATATAGTATCATAAAATAATAAATTAGCCTTCTGAGCACATGGAGTCAAGTTCATAATTCTTTCCTTCATCAGAACACCCTGCAAATACAATAAGGGGCTTCTCAGGATGTTCTCCTCCACACACCAGCCCAGGAGCTGTGCTTGAACTGGAGACAGCTCTTCTGGAGAGGTTCCTGCTCTTCCTCCAGCCCCACTTGATGAACTCTAATTATAATAATATAATCATATTTATATTTATAATAATATAATTATTATATATTTATCAATATATTTATATATTAATAAATATATTTATTAATATTTCTATTAATAAATTAATTTATATATTATAAATTATAATATATAATTTATATTTATTATATATTTATATAATAAATTTAAATATGATAATATATTTATATTTATATTTATATTTATATTTATATTTATATTTATATTTATATTTTGCCAGAGCAGCAAGCCACCTCGGCCCTGGTGTGCCCAGCCCACACTCTCCCCCTCTGCCACAAAATTCTTCATCTCCACTGCCTTTCCAGAGCCTCATCCTGTGTTAGAAAAGGCATTTCCCAGTCCTCTTTCCTTTGCATACACACACGTGGGGTGTTTTTTCCACTTGTTTACAAGAGAATGTTTTCTTTTTAAGAACAGGGATTGTTTTTGCAGCAGCTCCAGCCCCGCCTCACAAACCAAACATTGCCCAAGCGCTCCGTGGCTCAGGATGACGTTGTTGTTGCTGGAATGCCAGTGCTGAATATCCAAAATGTGTTTCTTGGTGGAGCCTGGGGGGTTTTGTGCTCTGTGTCCCCAGCTGTGACCCAGAGCAGTGGTGGGTCCTTGTGGCTGAGCCAGGGGGATGTGGTTGGACTTGGGGCTGAGCTGGGGAAGGATTTGGGTTTGTTTTAACACAATAACACAGTAACCCAAGGGCAGCTCTCACCATCCTGCAGCAGGGGAGCATCCCCCCCATTTCTCAGGCTGGAGCTGGTTCCAGTGTGACAGGGACTGCACTTTGCTGCTGGTTCTGGTTTTACCTCAGCATTGCCTCTGCCCCCCTTTCCAACAGCATCAAACACTTCTGAGAGAATGCAGAGAGCTTCCCCAGGAACATCCTCTCACTATCACCACTCCATGCAGGATGCCAGATTCCATGAAAATGCTCTGATCTGTTCTGACAAATCCTCCGTTCCTAAGTAGATAATAACCAGAAAATCTTCCTAAATAAATCCTGGTTTCGGATCTGTGCCCACACTTTGTTATTCTTTCCTTACCAATTAACTGCTCCTTCTTGCCCTGAACTGGAGCATCCTCCAGGGGGAAAGGAGACCCAGATTTATGGAGCTTGGTGTGGGACTGGCAGGAGAGTTATGGCTGCAAAAATCAGAGTCTGATCTGGCAGCACTGAGGCAGGACTGACCAGAACCTCTCTCCTCAGCTGAGCAGGGATTAAAGGCTGCAGATAGCCAGAATCCCAAACTGCAGCACAAAGGGCTGGGATATCTTCCCATGATACAGAATCAAAGAATGGTTTGGGTTTGGATAAAAATCACCTAATTCCACCCCCCTGGCCATGGGCATAGCAGAATTTCAGGGAAGCTGGCACTGGAGGAGAGACAGGGATATATTGGAATAACATCCATTTATTTTCCACTCTTTCCCTCCAGTATCAAGTGGATATATTTGATATTAATTTCCCTTTGGGCAAAGGGAATTCCAGAACCCGTCTGCCCCCAAACCTCTGATGCCACTGGTGAGGTCAGAGCTCCACCACGGCCAGGCTGAGAAGGGAACATCCCTGCTGCTGCTGCTGGTGGCTGCTGCACCCCCGTGGCCACCAGCCACATCCCAGCACCTGTGGGGCGGCTTCTCCACCTCCTCCTTCCCAAAGCCCCCCAGCGGCGGCGCCGAGCTGCGGGAAAGGCCTGGGAATAAAAGTTGGGCTTGGGAAGAAAAGTTGGGCTGGCTCAGCTGGGCAACAAAACCAGAAACTCCTGGTGATGCAGAGCTGTGGGGGGCTGGAGTTTGGGCAGGGATGTGGGGATATAGGGATGGAGGGGATGCAGGGATGTGGGGATGGAGGGGAGGCAGGGATGGAGGGATGTGGGGAGGCAGGGATGGAGGGATGTGGGGAGGCAGGGACACAGGGATGTGAGGCTGCAGGGATTCAGGGTTGCAAAGATTCAGGGATGAGGGGATGCAGGGATGAAGGAATGGAGGGATGCAGGGACATGGGGATGTGGGGATTCAGAGATGCAGGGATTAAGGGATGTGGGGATGCAGGGATTCAGGGATGTGGGGATGCAGGGATTCAGGGATTCAGGGACTCAGGGATGCAGGGATTCAGGGATGTGGGGACGCGGGGCTTCAGGGATGCAGGGATTTAGGGATGTGGGGATTCAGAGATGCAGGGATTGAGGGATGTGGGGATGCAGGGATTCAGGGATGTGGGGATTCAGGGATGTGGGGACGCGGGGATTCAGGGACACAGGGATGCAGGGATTCAGGGTTGCAGGGATATGGGGACACAGGGATGCAAGGATGCAGGGATGGAGGGATGTGGGGACTCAGGGACACAGAGATGCAGGGATGTGGGGCTGCAGTGATGGAGGGATGTGGGGATACAGGGATTCAGGGTTGCAAGGATTCAGGGATTCAGTGACGTAGGGATTCGGGGACGCCAGGAGTCCGGGATGCAGGGATGCGGGGATGCAGGGATTTAGGAGCGCAGGGATCCAGGGATGCACCGCCCGCTGCCACCAGGAGGTGGCACAGCCCGAGCGCGGATGTCACACCGGGTCGCGCCCCCCCGGCCGCCGGGACCCCCCAAAAAAGGAGCGCGGGGTGATTCATCCTTCCAGGAAAGCCAAGGAAAAGCCCCGCATCGTTTTTCTGGGAAAGCCTTTGTGCAAAACAAAGGAACAAAAAAAGGGCACGAACTCTGTTTGGCTTGGAGAGGAGGGGAAAAGGAGCCCGCAGCTGTCGGGACACCCTCTGGCCGTGTCCCCCCAGAGCCAGAGGCTTTGCTGGCCCCCATTCCCTGCTCCCACATCCCGGCTGTCGGGATTTTCCCTATGGAAGCTGCATCCATGGCTTGTGCCAGCAGCAGCAGCTCGCAGAGGTTTCCCTGTGACCGTGTTCACAGGGGTTCTCAGATTGGGGAAGAGAAGAGGATCTGACTCCATGTTTCAAAAGGCTTATATTTTATTTATTATTTTATTATTTTTTATTATTTTATGATAATAATTTATTTTATTATTTTAAATTATTATTATTATAAATTATTATTTATTATTTTATGAGATATATTACAATAAAACTATACTAAAAGAATAGAAGAAAGAATTTCATCAGAAGGCTGGCCAATTAAGAAGCCATCCTTTGGTGAACAAATCTCTGTGACACGTTCTACCTGTTCCCAATGCCAGGTGCAGCAGGTTAAGATGAGAATTGTTTCTCATTCTTTTCTCTGATCCTCTCACAGCCTCCCCCAGGACGATGCCTGGCAGAGCTGCTGCCACACTGGCCCAGATGGCTTCTGATCATTCCAAATGACCAAAACTCACCCTGAAAACACAAATGCCAGCACGAGGGGTGGATTCCATCCTCCTGCCAGTGCTGTCCACTGGGGTCACACGCACCCAGGGGTGTTCCTGCTCAGCTGGTGCACAGCCCATGTCCCCCCTCACCTGCCCATGGAGCCATCTGCTGTCTGTGCCAGGATGGAGCTGCACAGGAACAAACCCAACATCTCCCCTCTGCCTAGAACACGAGTTCATGAACTGCTGCTATCATTCAGGCCTGTTCTAATTGAAACATCATGTCTTACACAATCATCCCCTTCTCCATCCCTTCTTTCATTCTTTCAGAAACCATTTCCTGCTTTTCCCAGCTGGACACGCTGTCCTTCCTCCTGCTTTGAAGCAAATATTTTGTTGGGTTTGGCTTCTGCCACAGCCTCACGTCCTCTTCTGCCTGATATTTGAGCCATCTGCTGTTAAAGGGAATATTTGGGGCTGGAAGTCTCCAAAGGGGTTTGGGGTGCTGAGATGAATCAGGAAGCAGCAGAGCAGGAGGAAAATGCATCTCAGCTTCACCTGCAGAGTAATTCAGGCTGAAATGCTTTACAAATTAAAAGCTGAGAGATGCTTTTCCAACAGCCTGGTACTCCCAGGCTGAGGAGCTGATCCACCCTGCTCCCCTCCACACGTGGACACAGAATCCAACCCCCATTTCCTCTTTCATCTCAAGTGAATGGAAAAAGAGAATTGGCCTCTGAGCTGTGGAGGTTGCCAGCATCTGCCTTGCCTCAATTCTGCTGCTTGGAGTGATGGCTCAGGTTTGAGCTTTTCTATTTTTCAGGTTCTGTGCTGCTTTAGTGTGTGGGGCTGGGCTCACATCAGGGGATGCTGAGCTCTGTGCACAGAGCAGGGACACAAAACAATTCCTGCTCCAGCTGGGCACCAAGGACAAATGATCCAAATCTCAGCCCAGGAGCACAAACCCCGTGGGCTGGAGAGAGAAAAACAAGGATGGGACTGCAGGGGCTAAAGCTGGGATGGGACAATGAACTGCAAGGTGCAAATGGAGCAGAACTGATCCCAGGGAGAGACCCCGTGCCCGGCCGTGCATTTTGGGACCATTTTGGTTCATCTTGGGCTCATCTTGTGACCATCCTGGATTCATCTTGGGTTCATCTTGTGACCATCCTGGATTCATCTTGGGTTCATTTTGTGACCATTTATTTTGGGTTCACCTTGGGTGCAGGCCTGGCTGGGCTCTGGTGCTGCCCAAGGTGGATCCATGGAGGAGATGCTTTGAATAAATCCCTGCTTTATTCAGGAACTCTGCCCAGCCTCTGCTCCAGCTCAGCCTCCTCAAGGCATCAGGGGAACATCTGGCTCTGCTCTGGGATGTAGCAGAGGTGATGCAGGGACAGGAGCTGTGCTGAAGGGGCTGGAGGTGCCCAGAGCAGGTGACACCCCCTGTTCACAGTGCTTTTCCTCCCAGGACACACACAAAGAGCTTTCTCCTTGCTGTCACTCCTCTCTCCTGTCATTCTGGGGTTTTTTCCCCCTGGGTTGTTTGGAACAAGGGTGTTTTTTGTCCAGCTGAGCTCCAAGCTCTGGAGGTGTCTGCAGGGGGATCCAGGGGGACTGTGAGGGGCTGCACAGGGCTGGGGATGTGCCAGGCACCTGCACAGGACACAGAGGCACAGCCCCACCTCGGGATTCCTCTGCAGGACACCAGCCCTGGGCTTGGCATCCCAAACCTCCCCCTCCTCTCATGCCTCAGGATTCGGCCTCAGCTGCTTTGGATCTTGCATCACTGATTTTTGGGAAGCTCCTGGGACTTCTCAGAAATACCACTTTTGTTGGGTTTGCTTCCTTGGACTTCAGGGGTGTTGCTTAATTAGCGTTTCATGCTGATTTCCTTCACAGCTTTGGGGAGACTTGAAAAAACCCCAATATTCCTGTCCAGACAGCAAACACCCCTTTGCTCCCCAAATCCCACAGGGTCAAACACTGTCCCCAAACTCCAAAACCTTGAGCCTGTCTATCTTGGTCCTCAACCCCCAAAAAAAAACCCAACAGGGTGAGTTTTTCTCACCTGGCCTGGAAGGCTTGGGCTGCTCCTGGCTGTCACTGCAGGGGGACAATTTGGGATGTGGTGCCTGGGGATCAGCACTGGAGGCAGCTGCTGAATGGCCCTTTGTGTGCTTTGTCCTTTGGCTGGATAAAGGGGGCATTATTAAATGTAAGAAATGAGAATCTCTCTGTTGGTCAGGCCGAGTTCTTGCTGGGTTCCTGCAAGGAGCAGTGGGAGCTGGGAAGATGGATTCAAATTTTCTAGAAAATTCCCTTGCCCAGGATTCCTCTCCTGGGAAGCCTCAGAGAAAAAATGAAAACAATTCTGATCTCATTTGCTTCTCCTGTGTTGTGCTCCTTTGGAATGTGTTTGGAGATTGTTTACCCACAGGTGATTGTTCCATTGGATTCTGCTGGGAGCTGTTTTCACTCTTTGGCCAATCAGGGCCAAGCTGTGTCAGGACTCTGGCGAGAGTCAGGAGTTTTCATTATTATCTTTTTTAACCTTCTGTAAATATCCCTTCTGTATTCTTTAGTATAGTTTAGTACAGCATTCTTTAATATAATATAGTATCACAAAATAATAAATGAGCCTTCTGAGCACATGGAGTCAGATTCATCATTCCTCCCTGCCACAGGGCACCCTGCAAATACAATAGGGAGGATGGATTCACCCCCAGGCATGGCCAGCAGGCTCTGCTCCAGCTTTAACAGCAAAGGAGCCTCGTGCTGGGCTGGGAAATAGGGAGAATAATCAGAGTTAGGGTCCTTCTGGGCTGGTTTTGTGCTGGAGCAGGAATCCACACCACAGCAGGATCTGCCAGCGCCTCCTCTCACAGGCAGAGCTCCTGGGGATGCTTCTCCTCCCTCAGCCCTCAGCTCAGGGGGGAGCAAACTCCAAGGGGAATATTTAAGGAATCAGTTCATTTCCAGGAAACCCTTCTCTTGTTCTTTCTTCTTCCTTTTTTTTTTCTTTCCCCCAATGGAAAAGTTAAGTCCTCATGAACTTTTTGAGAACTTTTGTTTGTTCCCTCTTGCTGGCTAAACTCTGCTTTGTGCTGGTGACAGAGCCCCTTTCTCCCAGTGCTGGCCTTGGGCCTGGAGCTGTCCCCTGTGTGCTGGCAGTGCCACCAGCCCTGTCCCCCTTCCCTCCAGCCTGAGGCAAAGCCCCAGCTCCAACAGCTCCATTTGGGGACTCTTTGGGGTCTTTTCCTTCTCCTCCTTGTGCACGAGGTGATGGAGTGAGCTCTGCTTGCTTCACCTTCCTCTGCAATGGAAAATGCCAATATCAGGGGGAATAATCCCTCAGAGCTGAGGGAGGGAGGGGTGGTGGCTCCTTGGAAGGAACAGCAGCAGCAGTGGAAGGAATTCCTCTTTCCAGCTCCAGAGATGCTCTCTCTGGGACAGGACTTGTTTGCTGGGGATTTTGGTGCTGTTTGAGTCTTTACATGATGCAAGGGTCTGCAAAGGGAGCAGGCCCATCATGCTGGGTGGTCAAGGGAAGGTTTCCCAGATTTCTGTGTCACAGCAGGACCCAGAGGGCAGAGCAGAGTGGATTTCACAAACCCACTCAAAGCAGCATCTGCAGAGGCACAAACCACAAAATGCTGAGGGAAATAAAAACTCCAACAGCAACAGATCATATAAATGGTATTTATCTCTGGAGGCTCATGGCTTGAGTTCTCCACTGCTACTGATACCCCAGAGCAGCAAATAAAACTCTTCCCTTTCAGAGAATCCCCATTTCCTGGGGCTGAGTGTGTGAACAGGGAACACAAACGTTTGATGACTTCATTTACCCATTTCTCAGGGGTACAGGGTAGGAAGGGAGCTGTTGTGCAGCAACAACTTTAAACAAGTAATAAACAAATATATTATAATAACTATATAATAATAATAACTAAAAATAACTATAATAACTATATAATAATAACTATAAACCATAAAGTAGTTAATAAACAACACAATTACAAAAGTTTCTTTTTCATTATACCAAAAAAAAAAGGAAACAACCAGGGTGTCCCTGAAGATGTGTCCTCCAACTGCCAAAATGTGTTTTGGAGCTGAGTGTGGGATGTGCACAAGCAGTGATTGCAACACAGCCACCACTGGGACTGCCTGGAGAGAACTGGAGAATTTTCTGGGAGAGTTTTAACCTTTGCAAACGAGCTGGGCACAGGGATAAAAGGAGGGAAGTCATTGAATAATTTGGGTTGGGAGGGACCATTAAAGATCACATCATCCAACCCCTCTGCAGTGAGCAGGGTCACTTTTAACTAGACCAGGTTATTCCAAACCAAATCCAACCTGGCTTTGAATGTTCCCAGGGATCCAGGGGCAGCCACAGCTCCTCTGGGCACCCTGGGCAGGCTCTCACCTCCCTCTCAGAGAAGATTTTTTTCCCAATATTCAATCTAAACCTCTTCTCTTTCTGCTTGAAACCATTCCCCCTTGTCCCATCATCCCCCTGCCCTTGTAAAAAGTCCCTCTCCAGCTCTCTTTAGCAACTGGAAGGGGTTCTAAGGAATCCCAGAACTTCCTCTGCTCCACCTGGGTGGTTTTCAGGAGAAGGACCAAGAACTACTGGCCCCAGAGTG